GCGCATACCACTCACGGGCGGCCTGAAGCGTCGGGGCGGGCTGCTGACTCTGCCCTCCGCCAGTGCCTCCACGACCACCACCCCCACCGCCGCCGCCCCGGCCACCTCCACCCCTGCCGCCGCCACGACCACCTCCGCCTCCGCTGCCACCTCCGCCACCACTCCCACCGCTGCTGTCTCCTCCCCCACTGCCGCCACCAGTCTCCCCAGCCGCGCCTCCACTCCCACCGCCTCCACCCCCACCTCCTCCGCCACCACCCCCACCCCTGCCCCCTTTGTTCCTGCGGCGCCCGCTCGAAGCAGACGCGGTCCCGACCTTCTCAGCACCAAGAAGGTCGACAGCAGCAGCAGAGGCGACAGAGGGGAGGAGGGGGGAAGGGGAACACCCCTCAAAGAACGGGGTGCGGGGGTCGCCACGAGAGGTGCCTACAGCGACGATGCTCGCCTCAGCTGCAAGCAGTTCCTTCTCGAGGAGGGCAACAGTGAGCTCAGTGGGGGAGCGAGAGAGGAAGTGGTCCCTGACTGCGCGCAGAGAGTCAGGGAGGCGGGTGACGATGTGGTAGAGAGTGATCCAGAGTGGGGGGGGGTTGCTAGTGAGAAACTCGGCAGGCATAGCAGCGCGAAAGCGGGCCTCACTAGTCTTAAGGTGGGTGATGAGGTCTGCGACAGTGTGAAAGGAGGCTAGGTCGGGGAACAGGTAGGGGAGAGTGAGGCGGCCTAGCGTGGCAGAAGCGGGTGAGGAGTAGCGGGCAACTACAGCGGTGTAGAGGTCCTTAGCAGTCTTGCACTGGCCGAAGTGCTCGCGTTCGTCTAGCGGCAGGGAGTTGCGAATAGCAAAGCGAGCATGCGCATCACGGGTCTGCCACTGGGAACGCAGAGTGCTGTTAGCAGTCGAGTCAGGGGCAGTGGCATGGCCTAGGGCGTGGTCGTACAGTGAGATATCTTCCTTGGCAGTGAGCTGTAGGAACAGGTGCAGGTCATCGAGCCAGGTTTCGAACTTCACTGGACGGCCCTCGGCATCGAAAGCTAGAACTGGCGGACTAGCCATAGTGACAGTAGCAGTAGGAGCAGTAGGAGTAGCAGTAGGATCAACAGGGCTGCTAGAACGGTCGACGCGGCTCGGTCGGGCGGCGCGGCTCGGTTCAGGTAGGGCGGCGCGGCTCGGTTCGGGCTGCGCGGCTGCGCGGAGCCGCTAAGAGGGGCGGGACGGGGTCGCGGGGGCCTCTAAGCGGGGCTCGACGGGGCCGTGGGGCCGCTAAGCGGGGCGCAGCGGGGTCGAGGGGCCGTGTGGTGGCGGGCGACGGGGCCGCGGGGCCTCTAAGCGGGGCTCGACGGGGCCGTGGGGCCGCTAAGCGGGGCGCAGCGGGGTCGAGGGGCCGTGTGGTGGCGGGCGACGGGGCCGCGGGGCCTCTAGACGGGGTGCGCGCGGGGTCGACGGGGCCGTAAGCGGGGCGCGCGCGGGTCGACGGGGCCTCCGTGTGGTGGCGGACGACGGGGCCGCGGGGCCTCTACACGGGGTGCGCGTGGGGTCGACGGGGCCGTAAGCGGGGCGCGCGTGAGTTCGACGGGGCCGCGGGGCCACTAGGCGAGGCGCGACGGGGCCGCGGGGTCTCTAAGCGGGGCGCGATCGACGGGGCCAGCGGGGCCGGGAAAAAAAAAAGAAAGCGCTCGAGGGCGCTAAGGGGGGAGGCGCTAAAGCGCACTCCGATAGTAGGGCGCACGAGGGCGCTAGTAGGTAGTAGGTAGTAGGTAGTGGTGGGCCCGAAGAGAAGTTAGGTCCTAGCGAAGGACCTGCTCTGAAACCATGTCAGAATGAACGGACTGGAATGAATGAACTAACAAGGAAGGCAGTACAAATAGTAAACCCTAGAGATCTGTACCCCATATGGTCTAACCCACTGTAGCCTAACAACAACCAACACATATAATGTTTGACACTTGAGTGTTTGAGCAGCGTGTTACCTATTGCTGAGGTGAGCTGACAAAGCCCTAAGGATCTTTTAGAGTCTAGTCCTTGTATGAATTCCTGTACCGTATTCCCCCGGATAAAACACCCGGGGGTATTATGATAACCACTGGGAAAAAATGGGGGGGGGTCTCCTCAACGGAAAATCCTACATAATTCCCGGGTCTATTCATACGACATTTTTTAATATAAGGATTTTGAAAAATGGACAGCATTGCTGTTTTCGAAGTTGGTTAACCAGCACATTCAGAGGCGGGAACGCGATTTTTGGCATGCGACATTGACCACCCTGAAGATGGCATGTGTCACCTCTCTGGCCAAAGATTCGCCAGCGTGGCGACAGTGAAATTGTGGGAGGGGGGAATCTCAGCAGATATCATAGAGGGAAATTTCGTAGAGGGAGGGATTTTCGCGTCTTCCCGTACTTGCACGCACTCGTTATCAGCTATTATAATAAGAAATCTATATGAAAAGGGGGGTGTTATGGAGAATCACCCCAAAAGGGGGGTATAGTACCAACGGGGTCGAATGTAACACCCACCACGCATAAGCTACCCAGCGTACTATTCGGCCTGTGTGTTTTATCCGGGGGAATACGGTACTAGTAAACTGAGAAACAATAAATAATAATCATAAGGAATACATAGTCTAGTGAAGTACCTATTTGATTATATACCTTTTCACGAACAGTGCTACGGTTTTTTTCGAGTCGACTCCTGGAGCGATACCATACTTTCCCGTGTCATGCAAACAGTCACGAGACTCTTTGCGCTACTGCCTGTAACTTACGCGAAGGGACACATGCTAGAGTAACAAACTTATGATGATACTACGATACTTCTGTAGTTACTTTGAACTAATGAATTTCATGCATTATTTACTTACTCCAGCACTCCCCTTCAAATCTTGGGTTCGATGTAGTCGGTATTATTGTTGATGTGGCCGAGTCCAGACAGCGGCATGCAGTACTAGAATTTTGGACGAGGCAGTCGCTTGGTCAAGTTGTCTGCAGCCTAGTCAGGCAGTATCAAAGTAGCTTAGCAGAATGTCGAGTAGGTCAAAGCAAAGAGATACAAGTTCGACCCCAAGAGAGCGTTGTACCTTTGGCAACTCACTATAGCCTAGACTAAATAATAATATATAAATGATAAAAATATTTGACACAACCCCATAGGCTACGTGACGGGCATCAAAGCAAGCAAGTGAAACAAATGGTCAAAAGATCGGTCAAGAGAAACAAGATAACACTCATGGTGGATCTCACCATCACCACACATTATGAGCACAAGCAAACGGCCACAAGGCCAGTTCAGAGCAAAGCTAATACAAGCGAACACGAGTGTCAACAAGTCATAACTGCACACAGAACATGTGGTGTGTTCACCTGGCGCCAAGGCCTTGGTGAAGATGTACACGGTGTTGCCTTTGAAGACACAAAGTCCAGGCACGCTTGGCCGCGACGCTGCAGCTCTCGTAGGAGGAAGCACCTCACGTCATTGTGCTTCAACCTGATCTCCAGTCGAGGCTCGCGACACAAGAGAATCATGGCCGTTTTGTCAGCAAACAAGGTCGGAGCACATCCGGTCAGCACAACTGGCTTGCTCACACCAAGCACAAGCCCCATGCCTGATGTAGTCGCCAGGTACTTCGCCACCCTCACAGCAGCCATCCAGTGAACAGAACGGTGTCTCCGACTCGCAACAAAATAAGAGAGAACGCTGAGGGGAAAGGCGAGGTCCGGACACGTACAAGTCATCAGGTACATGAGGCAGCCCACAAGCTCTGCGTAGGGACCACTAGGCTCGAACGGCTCGTCAGGAAAAGGCCCAGTGAGTCTGTGGTCTACAGCAAGAGGAGTGGGCTATGCGGTGGCCTGAACCGCTAAAGGACCTGCTGCACCATGTGTGAATGTGAGAGTGTAATGGTGCAAGCGGCTCTGTCCCTGGTGATCTGCACGCCGAGGTAGCGCTGCAGTTTACTGAGGTCAATGCACGTGTGTCTCTTTTGCAGTTCGGACTTCACCGCAGTCAGAGCTGTCAAGTCATTGACATAGACCAGGATAAAGAACGGAGTGAAGCCGGAGCCAACAAACATCTACGGGTCGGCAGAAGAAGGGTGAAACACAAGGTCACAAAGTGTGGAACGCAGAATGTCGTGCCACTCACGGGGTGACTAGTGGATACTGTAGACTGGTCACCTCAGGTTCCCACGAAACCAGGAGGACGTCGCAGCCAGATCTCGTTGAGCAGTCGTCCCTGAAGAAAAGCAGTGGAGAAGTCGAGAGAGTGTAGCTCGTAGTCTTGCTGTGCTGCTATGTGAAGTAACACCCGAAGAGTAGTCATCTTCGGGGTCGGGGCGTGTCAGAGGTCCACTGGTGATCCCCGATTGATCCTAGGGAAGGGTTACAGGCACGTTGGCCTGGGGGGTTATGGGCGCACTCACCCGCTACACAAACAAGCCCTTTTATCCCAGTGGTTAGTGACTGGGATTCTGACAGTCAGGGCGAAGGTATGAAAAAAGTCAACTCCCTCGCTCTGTCTGAAGCCCCTCGCACTAACTGAAGCCCCTCGCCACATAGCGCACCTTGAACACTGGTGGTGATCCAACCGCCCGCTTCACCTTGAAGAGCCACATGCCATCGACAATGTTTGCCCAGGGACGGGGGACTATGTTGATGTACGTGCCTGTGGATCTCCATGACCCCAACTCTCCATGGCCGCCTTCCACTGAGAGGCCCACGGCCCTGACACTGCCTCGCGGTACGTCAAGGGCGTTGGGGTCTCCATCGGGGGGAAGCAGCTGCCAAGAACTCCAGCTCAAACTGCCTGTCCTCTAGGACGTCACAGCTAAGTGCAAACTCACTCCGGCGGACAGAGGACGAGGAGGAAGAGCAGCCACCACATGGGTGGCGTAGTCAAGGCGGCGGGTGGCGGCAAAGTCAGTGTCAGCAGTAGTATGAGCTGAGACAGACGACGGAGAGGCACGAGGGTCCGTGACAAGAGAGGCGAGAACAAGTGTGACAACAGGGCGAGGACTAGAACAAAACAAGACAGTTTGGAGATCGTAAGAAGAGACAAGGGACGAGCACGTTTGGGACAATGAATGGTCCAGTCGTGCGAGACAAAAGGAGGAGGCGACGGTGACCGAGGGGGAGGGAGGAGGAAACGTAGGACTGTACGTGGTAGGAGACTGTAAGAGGACAGGAGGAGAGGAAGGTAGTCCAATGGCCCGAAGGCCCCTCCGAGGAGGGAACAGCTGCTGCAAATGCTGCTGCTGCTGCTACTGCTGCTGCTGCTGCTGCTGCTGCTGCTGCTGCTGCTGCTGCTGCTGCTGCTGCTGCTGCTGCGGCTGCTGCTGCTGCTGCTGCTGCTGCTGCGGCTGCTGCTGCTGCTGCTGCTGCTGCTGCTGCTGCTGCTGCTGCTGCTGCTGCTGCTGCTGCTGCTGCTGCTGCTGCTGCTGCTGCTGCTGCTGCTGCTGCTGCTGCTGCTGCTGCTGCTGCTGCTGCTGCTGCTACGGCTGCTCCTCCTTCTCCTGCTGCTCCTGCAAGTCCAACTTCTGCAGCTCCCGCCTCTCGCGCTCCAACCGCTCCTGCTCCTCACACTCACGGCGGCGAGTCGCCTTGAGACGTGTGTCGTGGCGTTGGGGAGGCGTAGTAGTAGTGCCTCTAGCACCAGTCTCCTCAGGAATAGCACCGCCAGCTCCAGCACCCCCAGAATTAGCACCTCAAGTGCCAGCACCTCCCACTCAAACACCCCCAGACCTAGCACCTCCAATGTCAGCACCTCCAGCTCCAGCACCCCCAAAACCGGCACCACTAGCTCCAGCACCCATCAAACTAGCACCTCCAGTGCCAGCACCTCCAGACCCAGCACCCCTCAAAGGAGCACCCCCAGACCGTGCACCTCCAGTGGCAGCACCTCCAGCTCCTGCACTTCCTGAGTCTACAATAACCTGTCGTGGACGTGCCGACAGCTGCAGGGGGGACTGTCAGGAGGACTGCTAGGAGGAAGACGCTACCTGATGCACGACCGAGGGTAGAGGGGTAGCGTGAGACACACCTGACGCGGCAGGACCAGGGGGGGGCGGGGGTACTGGAGGAGCGGGAGCAAGAGGAGGAGAGGGTGCTAGGAAAAGAGGTGGAGGAGGGACTAGGAGACCTCGACAGGGGTACCGGACGTAGTAGGACACATACTTGTCAAACCGGAGGTCACGGGAGTCTAAAAAATGGTGGAGAGGCGAGTGGTAAAAGGAAGACACAAGGGATGGCGCGAGCCAAGAGCTTGTCTGCAGAGGCATCGCTGAGAAGTGCAAGGCAGCTCTAGACACGAAAGGCCGACCCATTATCAGGGGAACCTGTCCAAAGATTGATCGGTGAAGCCCACGGCCACAAGACATGTAGCTGGAGGTTCAGCTGGTAGGCTGCGTAGCGAACAGCGTAGGGCTACAGAAAATGGGGCGCACGGGCATGGATCATGGAGATGCCGGCAATATCCATGACCAAGCCAATGCGGCGTTCAGCAACCATTCTGCTATGGGGACTCTGGCGTCCAGGACTGCACAATACCCTGCTCGCCGCAGAATCCGGCAAGCACGTCGGAGCGAAGCTCACCCCCATGGTTGGAGTGGAGACAACTGACGAGCCACCGGATCAGTGTAGAAGTGACTTCGGACTGCTTCGCAAAAGGAAAAACCGTGGTGTACCTGGAGTAGTCGTCAACGACCACTAGAAAGAAGCGCTCCCGCCCGGGCCCAGCACGAGGGGCTGGGCCCCAAACGTCCAAGTGGAGGGTCTAGAAGGGAGCGGTGGTCGGACGAAGGGATGAAGTGTGAGGAATGACACTCAGCCGACCCTTGACGCAAGGAGTGCACGGCGGCGCAGGCAAACAGGGGAGCATGGGAGACCCGCGGGGGAGACCAGAGGCTGGCTGACCATGCTACGGAGGCGTGGGAGGGACGGATGACCAAGACGGCGATGCCACAAGACTGTCGGGTGGAAGAGTAACAAGAGCAGGATGCGGTAACTAGACCAGATACAGTAACCTGGCCGGACACAGCAACCTGACTGAACACAGTGTGCAGAACGAAAAGACATTAGTGAGGCTCCCTGATGAACGTGGCAAGAGCTGCTCCGGCAGAAGCGTCTGTATAGATCGCATTCCTCCCGTGCACAAGAAAAGTGACTGTGATCCCATGGTCCTGAAGGTATCCAACACCCACCAAGTTCCGAGAGAACGAGGGGATGTAGAGACCAGCGAGGGAACCAGAGGGGACAGGCAGGCACGGGAGGGTGGTAGAATTGTGAGCGACTGTTGGTCCTGAAGTAGGATCAACCAGAGCAACTGAGACCAAAGCAGCAAGAGTTGTGACAGTGGTGTAGTCATGGAAGAAGCATTGGGACGCGCCAGAGTCCAGCGTGAATGAGACAGACGCGTCAGCAGTTGTCACAGCCCCACTAGTAACTACACAAGCACCTACACTAGAAGCACAAGCACCTACATTAGCAACAGGCAAGGGTCCCAAGCTAGGTACACGCAGGTCAAGAGATCCATACGTGACAGAATAAACAGTAAAAGAATGTTTGATCAAGAGAAACCTTATTTAAAATGACAAACCGATGTCGAGACAGCACCGTGTGTCGCAGAGGCCTATCCTTTCTCAGTTTTCGCTGCTCAATTGTTTGAAACACCATATCTTCCTAATTGAAGTTACGAATGATACCAAGTTGGTCCTGTGTCCTTACAATATAGTAAATGAATGTTTGATCAAGAGAAATATGTAAAAAATGACAAACGGGTGTCGAGACGGCAACGCGTGTCGCACAGGCCTATCCTTGCATAGTTTTTTGCTGCTCAGCTGTAAGAACACCATAACAGGACTATCCATCATCATTACAATATAGTAAATAAGCGAATGATAAGCAGAAACATTGTTTAAAATGACAAGCACACGTCGATAAGACATTGTGTGTCGCACAGGCCTATCCTTGCACAACTATCCTTCCTCGAATATTTGAAACACCATACCTTCTGAACAGATGCTATAAATGGCCCCAAATAGTAAAGGAATTATTGATAAAAAGAATCATCTTTTGAAATAACAAACGGACGTTGAAACGACACCACATATCAGCCATGCTTATCCTTGCATAGGTTTCCCTACTCAATAGTTTGAAACACCATTTCTTTCTACCAGATGTTGCGAATGATACTAAATCTGTTTAACATCCTTCTAATATAGTAAATGCTTGAATGATCAAGAGAAACTTTGTTTAAACTGACAAAGGGATGTTGAGAGGGCACGACATATCGCTCATGCCTTTCCTTGTACAATTCTCCCTACTCAATAGTGTGAAACACTCATATATTCCAATTAGATGCTGCAAATGGCACCAAACCTGTCTTACATCCTTGCATTATATTAAATAAATGAATCTTCAAGAGAAACCTTGTTTAGAATGATAATCGGACGTCGATTAACTCCTGACCATTCTAGAATTCCACTTCAACTTTTCAGTTGAACGAACCTTTCAGGTCTGCCAATGCACACGAGGCTTTTTTTTTCAGCAAATCAGGTTTCCTTGTGGCATCTGCGGAAGCGCAACTCCTGCCACGCGAGGTTATTGGGGCCACGATGCGAATTCTAACACATCCCTTGTAGTGCGTAAACTGCTCCGTGGGTGCAGTGCTGGTATGTGTGGTTCAGACCAAAAATTCCACTTCAATTTTTCCGTAACTCCTAATGATAGCCGACTCGACCTTACTCTCCCTCGTGGGGGACGATGTCAGTTCAAAGTCATACCTATTTAAACGTATCTCATAACATTCTGTTTTGTCCTTGTTTTTATTATTTATTCGTTTATAGGTTTGCGAACCTTACTGAGATGGCCATACTACCAGGCAATGAGATGTGGTCTTTTCCCAACCAACTTCTTCGGTTGTGGCTCTGGTAAGAACTAAACGTCGTTCAGTCACAGCATTACTTATATTGTTTGTTCCTAGGATGTTGTCTTGCGGGTCGTCCATGATATGCTCAGCCACTGTGATGATGCTGACTAGTCTCCACGGGCAGGTAAGCCTACCATTGTTTTTACTTGTTATGTCACTCACTGTTATCTTTCCCGTTGTGCAGCGCCTTATTAGATAGGTCCAGCTGAGTCTACCAAGACTTCATCTTTAAGCCTGAGTGGTTGTTATCCAACGGTTAGGCCGTATGTCTAGATAATGCATATTAATGTGCATGCCTCTGTCAGGTCAAGTGTGGTACATGCTGCAGCAACGGTGAAGCTATATTATAAAATAAAAATAAAACTTAGGTGTTTGGTTTCTGATCGATCCTGTGTCATTTTAGTACTAACATGTTTTTGAAAATATATTTTAAAATTTGAAAGGTTCGTAGTGTAACTTTTGGTTCTTGAAATACAATTTCATTTGCGGGGTTCGTAGTGTAAATTTAGAATTATGGTTGTAACATAGTATATGGTAACCTTGTAAACTTGATATTTATTTTATATGAATGTTTGAATATGAAAACAAACGACCGAAGGTGTAACCAGTAACGCATCTTCGTTTCCTAAGCACGATGTCGCTGCCCAATCAGAATTGCCAGTCAATCACCAATACGAATCGTGTGCCTTGTTGAAATCTAGCGAAATTCACCAGTTGAATTGCGAGCTTGTGAACTGACCCCGCAAATACGAGCATCATACGTATGTGAGGTGAAGAGAAAAAAACATTTAAAGTTACAAAAGGGTAGTTTCTGCTCTAAAAGGCACATTGTACACGAGCATTACATGTATGCAAGGCGCATGGAGTTCAGAGATAAAGTTACTGGAAGGTGGCTTCTGTTCTGATCGAGATCTGCGGTTACAATTTGTCGGCCAATTCTCGCCCGTTTCGAAGTGTCAATTGGGTATTTTTTTACTGTCAATTGGGTATGCATTGTTCAACAAACTCTCAGGAGACACACATAATCTTTCCGGTGCCTATTGATAGCCCATTTTTTTTTATGTATGAGTTAAACGGGTGATGAGAAACGGGGGGAGCCGAAAACTGTCGAGAGAATTAGGCAAAAGAGGACTGAACTAGCAAGAATGGGGATACAAATAGCAAACCCTAGAAGGGTTGTACTCGCTACAGAGCACCCCACTACAGGCTAGAGCATAATATTCTGACACACCCCCATAGCCAAAGTGGGGTGTAATCAGCAGAGGAAACAAAGCAGTACAAGCTCAGGGTGGATCACGATGTCACCACACATTCTGAGCACAAGCAAGAAGCAATAGTTTAAGGTGCACAATTATGAGCAAAGCTAGAGGCAGTCACAAAAGGGGCAAGTGAGGAGGAGGAGGGCTAGCGAGAGGAGAGTAGATAGGAGGCGACGACTGAAGCTGCAGACACACGGGCAACAGACGGCTCTGGTGCGACAACGTGGCTACCGGGAATGAGTGCCCCGGAGTACAGGAGTAACAGGCTCCGCGGCTAATATGCGCGGCAGGAGCAACGGACCCACAGGCGACGGCGCAACCGGCTCTCTGAGCTACCGGGAATGAGTGCCCCGGAGTACAGGCGCTGCGTACGACACGACGGCAACCTCCGCTCAACCTCCTCCAACTGTCCCACACCCCTCGACACACACCCCCTGCTTCAAACCCTAGCTCCACTCCGACGGTACCCCCCTTAAACCCCAAACCCTAGGCTCCCACACACCACCCCCCTCAGCGGCAGCTGTAGCAGAGGGAGACGAGGGAGGAGGAGGAGCAGGGGGAGGAACTCACAACCGACACCCCCATAGCCGCCACCCCCACACTCTCCACCCCCAAACCCTAAAACGGGCGGAACGGGGGAAGGAGCGCGGGGGACGGCGAGGGGGACGGCGCGCGGCCCCCAGGACGCCACCACGGGGCAGCGAGGGGCCGCGCGCGGCTCCTTAGGGCGCCGCGACGGGAATTGGGGGGGGGGGGGGGGGGGGGGGGGGGGGGACGGGACCGAGGGGCCGCGGGCGACGGGAAAGCGGGGCCGCGGGCGACGGGATCGGGGGGACGCGGGGGGGCGCGGGCGACGGGACCGAGGGGCCGCGGGCGACGGGAAAGCGGGGCCGCGGGCGACGGGATCGGGGGGGGGGGGGGGGGCCGCGGGCGACGGGAAAGCGGGGCCGCGGGCGACGGGATCGGGGGGACCGCGGGCGACGGGACCGAGGGGCCGCGGGCGACGGGAAAGCGGGGCCGCGGGCGACGGGATCGGGGGGACGCGGGCATCCCCCACGGGAGGAAACCGCCGCGCGCCTCGGGGCGCACGGCGGGGAGAAACCCGCCGCACGCCCCGAGCGCGCGGCGGGATGAAAAATCCGTAAAAAAAAATTCGCGGCAGGAAGGAGGCGTCGCGCGACCAGTAGAACAGCAGCGGAAGCATTTGGTGGTGGGCCCACCCACAGGATCGACCCAACAGGATCGTCCTGCTCTGATAGCATGTCGAGAGA